GTAGGTCCCTCTGAAGGGCCCCCAGGCAGCAGAGGGAGGGGGCAGCAAGGAGGGAGTCTCAGGCCCTTTGTTTCTTGGAGGAAGGGGCTCTGGAGGCCAAGGGCTCTCTTCACACCCTCTTCTTCTTTCTCCTTCTTCTTCTCCTCCTCCTTTCCCTTCTTCTCCTTCAGAGGAGGGTGCCATCCTTCCCAACCCCATCTGCAGGTCCCTCTGTCTGAAACCAGGATCTGTGGGACCTACCACACAGCTGAATAAAATCCCATAGGATCTGCTTTGAACTGGAAAATATATGGCAGTGTGGACTCAGAGAAGCCAGTTCAAAGCAGCAGATGTTGTGGGATCCTGTGGGTTATAAGGGTGTGTGAAATGTGGGGAAATGCTCCACGGTGATAGTATGACAGCTGGGTCCCAGTATTGTGAGCGTTATTCTGTTTCCAGAACGGTGCTTCGGGAATGCAGATTGCGGAACGCAGGGGCGGGACGACACCGCTGAAGCAATTTAACGCAGGGGACACACAGATAGCAGTGAAGGAACATAACAGTTCTTTAATGAAAAATGATAAGCAGTGGTTTTGAAAGACCTTAAACGGAATAGAAATCACCAATCCTGGCTTTTAGAAAGAAATTAAAATCATGGTTCTGGGACCAGGCCGTTGGACAGTAGATATATGTAGCATTTTAGAGGGACATTGACTGGAACGGCGATTCGACTGACATGACTGTTTTATTGTTTTAATGCTTGTTGATGTATTGTTTTAATTGTGATTTATGTTTAATTGTGGTTTTACTATTGTAATTGTTTGTATTGGCAAACGTAAGGCATTGAATCTTGCCATTATTTATGTGTAAACCGCTTTGAGTCCCCCCAGGACTGAGAAAGGCGGTATATAAATACTGTAAATAAATAAATAATCAGACCCAAAAGATTATTACACGCTTCCATGTTGTTTCCCAGCCCCCCACATCCAGCCTGCCCACAAACTGGAGGGGACTGGGCAATAATTCTACCTCCCTAGAAAAAGTCACGACCATGTCCTTTGTCCGAAACTGTTCAGTAAAGTAGATAAGATTGATTTTACACCACTCCTCGTATTTCTCCCCTCCTTTCTATCCTTACTTGTAATGGAACAATGAACTATCTTCCAAGATTGTCCCCCCTACTCTCACTCCGTCCCCTCTCTCGACCACGTGGTGGGACATATGTTCCCTTCCCTCATTCACAACCACTATCAGCGTAACGCTCGAAGCACAGGGACCCAGCTATCATACTGTCATCCCTGAAGGAGGGCAGAGAAAGGCTCCAGGAACAAACCTTCCAGCATCTGCCACCAGAAAATGAATTGGAAGGATTCCCAAAGGAAGGGAAAGAGATATCAAAGGTTCAAGGGGGTGAAGAAGGAGGGAGAAGACTACGGGGGGACAGTGTTGCTCTGTGAGGAGAAGACCCTCTCCCCAAACCCTTTCTCTCCAGATCAAGAAGCCAGTCCTCCATTCAACATTAATGGTAAAGCATTATCCTGCCTTGACAGTATTAATATGACCTTATTTGTCTTTTTTTTGTTTTGTAGGTCCTGTCAGTTCTGCCAGTTCTTTCCCTTCAAAATAACATCTGGCAGGACAGAAGGAAAGTTCTTCATCCAGCGTGGAGGCAGCCTAGATGCATAGAACAGAGATGGAAGGGCAAGAGCCTGTTGTCGTCAAGTTAGAAGTATTTTCTTCTGCTGTTGAGGCAGAGAACAATAGAGCATTCTGGGAGGACCCTTGGAGGAAAAACTGGGAGAGCAATCTGCTCGATTCAGACCTACAGCGCCAGGGCTTCCGGCATTTCCACTATGAGGAGGCCTTGGGGCCCCGAGAGGTGTGCAGCCGCCTCCACTCTCTCTGCCGCCTGTGGCTGAAGCCCGAGCGACACTCCAAGGCGGAGATGCTGGACCTGGTGATCCTGGAGCAGTTCCTGGCCGTCCTTCCTGCGGAGATGGAGCGCTGGGTCAGGGAATGTGGGGCAGAGACCAGCTCCCAGGCCGTGGCCTTGGCTGAAGGATTCCTCCTGAGTCAGGAAGAGGAGAGGAAGCAGCAGAAGCCCCAGGTGAGAGAGAGAGAGAGAGATTCATCTTATAAGTTTCAAAGAACCAAGAATAATTGTTTTGAAGGATAATGTAAAACTCTTCTAAACTCCTCAGGCTGAGATGACTGCATTCACTCTCAGGTGAATAATTTTAAGAAAAATAGATGTAAGTTGAACGAGTTCAGAGAAGCATTAGGAAATGAGTGTGTGTGTGTTATTTTTGTATTTTTTATTGTATAATACATAGAAACATACCACCTTTGAAATTAACATTCAAAATACCAGTATTTTCCCCAATCCCACCACCACCACAATCCCCCCTCCCCTCCCCGCCCAGGAAGTTAAGTACTTTTGCTGTGTTTATTACAATTGTTCAATCATGAGAATAGTCTTATTTAATACCGTATATTTATCTTTCGCCTTTATTCTGTAAATGAGACCCTTCCATGTTGCTTCCCATGTCCTTATGCTTTGACCCGTCGTATAGTAACTTTTCCTTTTGGGAGCTTGTCTATTTTATTTAGTGGGAGTTTGTTTTGCCATTTTCCCCAAGAGGTCATTGTTGATAACAAGGGGCCTCCTACCTCTGAGGATGCTTGCCATAGATGCAGGCGAAACGTCAGGAGAAATGCCTCTAGAACATGGCTCTATAGCCCGGAAAAACCCACAAGAACCTAGTGATTCCAGCCATGAAAGCCTTCGACAATACATTGGCTTCCTTTTATGTTTTTTAGGTCTTTCCCCCCAATTTTCCCCGTAATGCAAGATCCATATTCCCATCCGTTTGTTAATTTCTCTATCCTAACCCATCTTTTCTGCTCTCCGATATCTAATTCTAGTAACCTAGCCAGTTGAAAGGCTTCATAGTGATTCTGGAGGCAAGGTGCTCCCCAGCCTCCATTTTCCTGTGGAGTAAAAAATATTGAATTAGCAATTCTGGTTTTACTAGAACCTACTGCCCATGTTGTAATTGAGTTATCCCATTTCTTTATTATTTTAGGTGTAATGCTACATGGGAGGCATAGTACAAAATTTGGGCAGTATCATCGTTTTATATGCCTTCAGGACCCAGGTGTGTTGACCCTGGAAAATATCAGAGTGCGACAGAAGCTTTGAAGCTTAGAAGAATGGACACTTTGAGACTTCAGTAAAAGCAAACATTTAGCTTTACTGAGTAGAGCAAATATACAGCACACATTCACATTTAGATCCAACCAAACAGACAGGAACAAGACAAAAAACACACTGAAATAAGAAGGAGGAACGAAACCTTATCTCTGGATCCTCCCTATGCGTTCAGGGCAAACTCAGGGTTACATCTTCACAGTTTATTAAAGGCTTGACTGTTTAACCCTTTCAGTGCCAATATACTCTCTGCTAAAGCAATCCAGTTACATTCACAGGCATTACACAAAATTATATTTAAACATTCACATTACACTCTTACATTAACAGAAAAGAGACTCATAGAATCAAAGAGTTGGAAGAGACCTCATGGGCCATCCAGTCCAACCCCATTCTGCCAAGAAGCAGGAATATTGCATTCAAATCACCCCTGACAGATGGCCATCCAGCCTCTGTTTAAAAGCTTCCAAAGAAGGAGCCTCCACCACACTCCGGGGCAGAGAGTTCCACTGCTGAACGACTCTCACAGTCAGGAAGTTCTTCCTCATGTTCAGATGGAATCTCCTCTCTTGTAGTTTGAAGCCATTGTTCCGCGTCCTAGTCTCCAGGGAAGCAGAAAACAAGCTTGCTCCCTCCTCCCTGTGGCTTCCTCTCACATATTTATACATGGCTATCATACCTCCTCTCAGCCTTCTCTTCTTCAGGCTAAACATGCCCAGCTCCTTAAGCTGCTCCTCATAGGGCTTGTTCTCCAGACCTTTGATCATTTTAGTCGCCCTCCTCTGGACACATTCCAGCTTGTAAATATCTCTCTTGAATTGTGGTGCCCAGAACTGGACACAATATTCCAGATGTGGTCTAACCAAAGCAGAATAGAGGGGTAGCATTACTTCCCTAGATCTAGACACTATGCTCCTATTGATGCAGGCCAAAATCCCATTGGCTTTTTTTGCCGCCACATCACATTGTTTGGCTCATGTTTAACTTGTTGTCCACGAGGACTCCAAGATCTTTTTCACACGTACTGCTCTCAAGCGAGGCGTCCCCCATTTTGTATCTTTGCATTTCGTTTTTCCTGCCAAAGTGGAGTATCTTGCATTTGTCACTGTTGAACTTCATTTTGTTAGTTTTGGCCCATCTCTCTAATCTGTCAAGATCGTTTTGAATTCTGCTCCTGTCCTCTGGAGTATTGGCTATCCCTCCCAATTCCTGCGTGCCATGACCACCCCCTTTGCACACACCCCCCCCCCAAAGGGCTCTCACCTCCATTCCCCAGGGTGGAATAAGCAAGTGTAATGATCTGAAGTTATAGGATAGGAAACTGAAAATTAGAAGGAACATATTGGGAATTCCAGTGGTGTGTATTTCAGAGGAAGCAACTGGCTGAACCGCTTCTGAATATTATTTCCATAAGACACTGTATGTTATCTGAAGGCAAAGATTTAGATTACTCAGCCCAAGAGCCCCTCTAGTTTAGCCCCAAATTACAATCCCAGGATTATGTGAAACACGTCATCTCAGCAAAAGTCCTGAAGCAGAGTGCAAGGCCCAAACAAAGGGAAAATTATTATACAGAAGGAAGAAAACAACTACAATCCAAGTCGTCTGGAACAGGTTGCACAAAGAGAGCCCTCCCTCCTTTTCTAATCTGTCTGTTTCTTTGTGATTTGTGCTGCTTGTTCAGGTGCAGGACTCTGTTGCAGGTGAGACCAACCAGATGGAGGAGTCTCCTTCAGACACCATGTGCGTTGTCCAGATTGGAAATGGAGAATATGTCGCAGTTGGTAAGGGATGGGCAGTGGTCCTTCTTGCTTGCTCACCACCTCTTGAGTAGACCTGCAATGTCTGAGCTGTGTTGATTGGAAAAAATTGGGGAGCCTGGGAGCTTAAGAATGCTGTTGACAGGAGACATTTCCCTACAATGTTTTTTTGTGCCAGTTTCAAAGTTTTGCTTCTCTTTGGAAGTGTATAGTGGTGAAAAATAATAATAATAATAATAATACTTTATTTATACCCTGCTACCATCTCCCAAAGGACTCGGTGCAGCTTACAAGAGGCCGAGGCCCAACACATCAATAAAACAACAGCATAACAAATACAACAATAAATAAACTCATAAAACAAGCAATAAACATTAAAACAATAGCAATAAACATTAGACAATAACACCACGACACATTTAAAACTAAGGCCGGGCCAATGTAATGATTAAAATTTAAAAAATGTTGGGCATGACAGGTGAGATGGATAGGTTTTTGGAGATAGGTGCGGTGTGCAGACAATCTTAAATCTCAAGTAAAGTGCATTTGGGACATGATGCTAGGAGTTTCCTATTCTAGGAAGGCACACTGGAACAACCACGACTTCAAGCTCTTCCTAAAGACTGCCAATGTTGGGGCTTGTCTGATGTCCTTGGGAAGAGAGTTCCAGAGTTGGATGAATAATAATAATAATAATAATAATAATAATAATAATACTTTATTTATACCCCGCTACCATCTCCCCAAGGGACTCGGTGCGGCTTACAAGGGGCCGAGCCCACAATACATCAATAATAAAAGCAATAACAAAAACAATATAAAACAGTTAAAATAAATCTCATAAACAAAAAATAAGCAATAAACATTGACAGTAACACAACAAACGTTAAGAACATATGGCTGGGCCAAATGTAATAATTAATTTTTTTTTTAAAATGCTAGGCATGAACACGTAAGATATAACTGGGATAGAGTTTCCCGAGAGGGATGGGGGCATGCTGGCAATCCTAAATCAGTAATAGTGCATTATGTGAATATACTCTTTGCTACATTGGCACAAATACAGAAACTAGTACAAGGTATTACTAAACACTATTTAAAACTAATACTATTACAGAAACTAATACTCTACATTTGCTGAGATTAGGTCGCAACACCCCCGTAAAACAAAATGGTCCACATTAAAGATCTGGGACCCAAATCCAAGGGGGAAGTCTCAAAGAGGGCCTTGGGGCAAGGGGAGGGTGGCAGGCTTCTGGGGAAGGAGCTGTGGGGCAGCCTGGGAAAGGGACCCATCTCACCCTCCCTGGTGTCTTTCCTCTCTTTCACAGGCAGTGAAACATGGCCAAGTGACAGTAACACATCTTTTCATGATCCTTTCCTAAGAAGAGATTCTGCGGGACTAGATGAGGTAGGCAGTGGGATCCCTGGACGGGAGGGGAAGCCCAGTCTCTTTCTCCCTTGGATATTGCCCTGACTCTAAATGAATCTCTATCTTTTACATTCTTTCAATCCAAGATGTTTTCAATGAATGACTTATTTAGAGATCTAAATCACAAAGGCTTGTTTTTCTTCCCTCTTGGGTGGCATTTTCTCCTTGCAAATAACTTTTTTCCCTTCAGGTGACTTTTGAAGACGTGTCTGTGGATTTCTCGGAGGAGGAGTGGGCCCTCTTGGATCCAAGCCAAAAAGCCTTATACCAGCAAATCATGGAGGAGAATTTAGGAATCGTGTCATCTCTGGGTAAAGCTCTATTATGCTTGTAGTTAACCAAATCAGTTTACAAGTACTAGAAAATAATAATAATAATAATAATAATAATAATAATAATAATCCTTTATTTATACCCCGCTACCATCTCCCGGAGGACTTGGTGCGGCTTACAAGAGGCCGAGCCCAAATACATCAATAAAACAACACAGCAATACAGACAATAAATAAACTCATAAACAAAGCAATAAACAATAATAGTAACACCACGACGCATTAAAAACCTATGGCAGGGCCAAGTGTAATAATTAAAATTTTAAAATACTGGGCATGACAAGGTGACATATAACTAGAATGGGTATTTGGAGAGAAATGGAGCGAGCAGACAATCCTAGATCATTAGTAAAGTGCGATTAGGGACATGTT